TAAATCTCAGCAACCTCATCAAATCCAATCAAGCACATCATGACCACCACCCTTTTTGATCCAGAAGATACAAATTAGGACAGAGCTGCAGATTTAGAAAATACTATATATATATATATTTAAAATAAGACATTCCAACCTCTTTTCCTGTTACCTTTCCCATTAACTTTGCACCTTCATTTAAGACTATTCTTCCCTGTTTACATGAAAAGTACATTTAAAATTAATAACTGTATCAGCTCGAATAAGGAACTGAACCAGCAATGCTGATATCAATACATAGGACACTCTCAGTATCCAGAGACACCCAAATCACAGCCCAAATTTGGGTGCAGGTACCCACAGCAATGTGGACACAAAAGCAGATGCCAATGACACTCCTCAAGCAGGATTTGCTCAGTGATCTCTGCCAGTCACAGCCACCAACACCCATGAATACACAGTGGGAAAAATACACCTAGACACGGTCCCATAAATGATTTCAAATCCTTTGAAAAGAGAGGGCTTCTAGAGTCAAATATGTCTTAAGTGCTGTGGATTTTTGACAAAATATCAGAAAAGAATTAGCAATCAAAGTAATTTAGTAATTTGATCTCCAACTGTGTTTTTTGCTGTATTTGATGACCCTTATGCCACAAGGTGATCCCAGGCCCTGAGCTTAGTACTTCTCTCACCCACCCTCAGTGTTTTAAGGGCAAACACCTGTTCCATAAACAAAACCCAACAGAGATATCTTAGTTCTAGGATGTCTTATTCCTTTTATTTCCCTTTTTAAAATGAGTCAAAGCTTGGAGAGTCTCAAACTTAAACCAGACTGAAGGTTGCAAAACAAAGTTTCACTTGAGAAAGATGAGCTAAACCAAAGACAATGCATTTGCTGTCCATCCTCAAGTTTATCTTACTGAATTAAGAAATTCTGAATAAAAGGAGCAAAGTAGGAAAGTTCGGGCTGCAACAAGAGGAGTTTCACCCAGAAAGCTCTTCCATCAAGACAAAAAATGCCAGTTTGAAATACAATTAATGGCCAAAAAACTGGAGCAATTCATAGAAATCCCTAAAATGCATGAAATAACTTCAATTTACCCCTAAATGAGCTTTGCATCTTTAAAATATGTATCAATTTAGACACCTCTCTAGCTATTGCTAAACTGGACCTTATAACACCAACCAAGAACAAATCCTTCTTGTTCTGAAATGAAATCTTTGCATGAAATTATTTCAAGAGATATTGGGGAAACTCTCTGAGGTGCAGCTTTCAGGCAGGGCACGCAAAGCTAGGCCAGAGGTTTTACTGGGAATAAATAATAGTGGTTATAGCTACAGAACAATTCCAGCCTATATAGTGCCTGAGAAATAGCCCTATGAAAGAGCTGCAGCATTTTACAAGCACACTGGATAACTGGCAGTGAGCACACCATAATCCATTTTAAGTCACATTAAAAGGTGGTTTTCCTCCTTTCAAGGGAGAAAAACTTTACTGCAGTCAAGTAGCTGTAAGCAAACCTAGAGATCCCTGAAGAAACAAGACACATTTCAGCTGAAACACCTGAAATCAGATTATTATATTGTATTTTCCAACTAATTCTGAATTCCTACATGGAAGTCAGCAACACTTCAGTGAAACACATCCAAGCGTCTACAACAACAGCTAGTTGCTTATCTGGGACACAGCACATGAAGCCAGGAGAGAAGGAGGAAGAGCTCAGCAAGGATCTAACCAGCCAAGGCAAAGTCTCTGCTCCTAAATGAACAAAGAAAGCCTACCAAGGTCGATGATATCCCTTTTATTAAGCACCCACCAGCCCTCAGGCTCTGCAGGTGGCTTCATTCAGGGGCAAACTCAGCTCATCTGTGCGCAAGGGCTGATGCCTGATGGAAGTGATGAATCTCAGGAACACAGAACACCTGGAAAGCCACAAACAGGGGCAAGAAGCACATGAAAACCTAAAATGCTTTGTGAAGGGCAGTGTTGATGAGGTTCCTCTGGGCAAAAATCACAGTAATGCCAATAAAATTATAGAATTAAGTGTTAATGTGTGTTAACATTTGAAGCAGGGATAAAAAGGCATGAAAAAGACCAGAAAAGAGATTGGTTTGTGGTCTTGTGGCAGTTTGGAATGGTTCTTCTTAGTTATTGACAACGGCTGGTCCTCTGATGAGTACCCTGAGCATTTATTTCTTACACCAGAGTCAAACTGCTTCATAGAATCATAGAATGTTCTGGGATTGGAATGGACCTTAGAGATCATCCACTCCCAACTTCCTGCCCTGGGCAGGGACACCTCCCACCAGAACAGGATGCTCGAGGCTTTAGCTAACCTGGCTGTGAACACTGCCAGGGTTGGGGCAGCCACAGCCTCCCTGGGCAACCTGGGACAGTGTCTCACCACCCTCACAGGGAAAACTTCTTCCTAAGATCTAAGCTGAATTTCTCTCTTTCAATGTATCCCCATTACTCCTTGTCCTGTCACTGTTTTCATGTGGCCTTTAGAAGACAGAGAAAGCCTCCAGAGGCCCCTGCTTGTAAAAGGAGGAGGTGTGTGTGTCTTTGTGCTGGAAATGTCAGCTAATTTGGGGTGATTTTGGATGAATGGCACTTGGTTAATAAACATCACATGTTTTGGCCAAGAGACTGAGTAGAAAAAAATCATAATAATGTAAAGAAACAGCATTTGCCAGGCATTATTGTTAATTCAATCTGATATTAGATAGAAAGAACGCCCTCCCTACAAAGATTCCCATTAATCCAAACCACCCCTTGCTGTGCTTAACACACTCAACTTTGCAAGATACTTGTTTAATGTATTTTAATTAAACTGTTAAAGAAATTGCTTTCAAAATAAGCATTTAAATTAAACTAAAAGTGCCATGGCACAGCTAGAGACAGAGATACTCAGGAATGGGAAGGAGCTGTATGTTAGTTCAGGAGCTTTTATGCAGGTTTCTTGCCTTCCCAGTGAGGAGTTCAGGCAGGAATCCTTTCCAGTGGTATTTGGTTCATGACAAGTATGTCCAGAGCACAGGAACCAGCAGAAATTACCATGGCATATCCATTATGGGGGTTGGAAATCAGTGGGACTGTGCCACGTGTCCATGCCCTTCCCCAAGAGCTGGGAATCTGGACCTTTGCACAGCCTTGGTTGTCTCCAGCTACTCCTATGAACTTTCTCTCATAGCACCTTGCCAGGATTTGAGCAGCTCAAAGTCTCCTACTCCAGCTGTGCCCTCTGTGGGTGTATTTCACAGAGATTTTTGGGAGGAAGAAGGGATTCTTCCAGTTTCTAGTGTTGCCAGACAACTAATTTATGGAGAGGGTTAGATCTGAGCTGATCCTCCAGAGACCCTGGATTTTAGCATTGTTTTCACCAGAGCATTTGTAAAGGTTATTCATACAAAAAGCATAAGAAACTTCAGCAGTGGAAGAGAAAATTCCTCATCAGATGTCCATATCCATCCATCTGCTACAGGAATGGGAAGCAGCACCAAGGCACAGCAAAGGGATTGAGGGTGTTTTGACAGGAGGAATCCAAGACTGTTACCACAACCTTTTGGATTTCCTCACTATTTAATAGCTCCTGGAGAATTCTTAAACTGAAAGCTGCATCTTTTATACACTTAACGCTCTAGATTTGAAGGACCAGCTCTTTGGAAGCAACAAGCAAGAAAACCAATGGGAATTGCTGCATAATTCATCCTGTGAGTGTTGGGTTCAGACTCAGCATTCATCACACCACTGGGAAAACATCCCAAACTTGCAACTACCTGAGACAATAGGTAAATCTCAGTCCCTAAAACTGGGATTTCAGCTTCATCTCTAAAAACAAGAGTTACTGGGACAATTTTATGTGCCAGAATTAATATGCCAAAGTGGTGTAAAGTTTCTATGGTGAGAGAAGGCATGTTAATAAGGAAATACATCCAACCCGACATCCATAGATTTTTTTATATGGTTTTATTTCACAAGATTAGGTTCCATTTTGGTAAATCAGCTCTTTAAACATGCCCACAGACCTCCGCTGGGCCACCACAATGCCTTTGGACTCATGTGAGTGCCAAAACCTGCTCCTGGCTGCCTCTTCCTCCTCCCAACAGCCAAGGGATGACCCCACAGCATCAGCTGAACCATCAGCAGCTCAGAAACTGAGTTCTGAAGACACTAATGAAGTGGATTATGCATCTCTCAGCTACTTTGGAAAGTTTCACATTTGTTTTTGCCTAAGAACAAGAGTTAGGGGTTGTTTTCTTTACACTGAACAAATAGTTCTACTATTCATTTAGACAAACTTTTCTCTAATTCATGACCAAATCATGTACTAGGTAATACTGATTCAATGCTAAAATAGCTTTAAATCTTTTTTCATGTGATTTCAAGAAACCTAGTGCTTATGTTCACATATATAAATCTCTATAAATCAAACTCTGCAATCTTTACCAAGAGCAGTGATTATCAGAACTGGTTTCCAGAGAGGTTTGAACCATGGAAGGGTTGCAGGAGTTGACCTGATTGAAACTGCAGTCAGTGAGTGAGTTTCACTACAGAATCTGAATAGGCTAATTACAAACCTGAAGTCTGTGAAGTCCTACCCTGATCCCATGCTGGCCCTGCTGGTATTTGGGTGACAGTTTCTCGTAGCCATTACACACCTGCACAAAGGGCACATCACTCCTTGGGGCCATGAGATAAAACTAGTCCACAGATTGCAAATAAAAATGTGTTTTTTAAAAGATCATGAAAACCAACAGCTAAATCAACGTGGTTTGGTCAGGCACTGGAATAGGTTGCCAGGGAAATGGTGAAGTCACTACCCCTAGAAGGATTTAAGAGGCATCTGGATCTGGTGCTGGAGGATATGGTTTAGGGTATAAGAGTTACAGCAGTGACAGGTTAATGATTGGACTTGATGGTCTGAGAGGTCCCTTCCAATCTATGATTCTATGCTAAACTGATGCTCATTTCTCCTCTCACAGGCAAAGACATGTTTCTCACTAGCATCTTCACCCTATAGCAGAATGTCAACATCATCTGGATACAGAAGAAACCCTGTGAAGACGCTGTCGTCCTCCGCGCTGACATAGACACCATTCCAGTCCCGTGCAACCTCCAGCCACACCTGGTCCCCTGCACTCAGCTTCAGGATGGTCAGGAAGGATGCCTGGTCGATCTCCTGGCCATAGAGAGTCTCCCTGGCTTTGGCCACCTTCCTGCTACGAGCCACAAGGCTGACACGGGCCGGACGCCCTCTGACTGTTACGTGGTAGGCAAAGACATATGCCCCAGGCACACTGCAGTTGAACTTCCCCGTGGAAGGGTTGTAATCTTCTTGCTCATTGTACAAGATCTTGTCAAATTTGATGGGCATATTGGGTGGTGGGAAGGGCTTGGACAAGCCAGCACTGAAGGCTGATCTCAGGAGCTTCATCGTGTCCCCACGGGCACCCTTGGCCCCACGGGAGCCTTTCTTCCCTGGGGCCCCTCGGCTTCCCTTGCTGCCAGCAACACCCTTGGGGCCAGCAGGTCCCATCATGCCAGCAGGTCCCAAGTCCCCTTTATCACCCTTGCTTCCCTGTTCACCCTTTTCTCCCTGTTTTCCATCCATCCCCCGAATACCCTCAGCCCCCATGTCCCCTTTGCTCCCCTTTTCTCCCTTTGTTCCTCCTTCCCCTCTGTCTCCCTTGGCTCCTCTCCCCCCTGGCTCCCCACAGTAGCCCTTCTCCCCCATGTCTCCCTTTTCCCCTTTGCCACCCTGGTCTCCAGCCACTCCTGGGTCTCCAGGCTCCCCCCTATCCCCCTTGTCTCCTTTGGTCCCATTCTCACAAGTGTCCCCTTTGGAGCCCTTTTGTCCCTTCAGTCCAGGGAAGCCATAGTTGCCCTTACTGCCTTTTCCTCCAGCTTCACCTGGGGGAAAAAAAAGAATTAAAAACATCAGTATTGCATTGCTTTGGGGATGGAGGAGCATCACCAACAGCAAAGGGAAAGGTCAGTGGTATTCCTGGTTTCCCAGCCTGTATTACATACCTTGCAGCCCAGGTTTGCCTGGATACCCTGGAGTTCCACTTGCTCCTCGCTCTCCTTGGTCCCCTTTTCCTCCTAGGACATTTCAGCATCAATATACTGTTGGTGCTGGTGTCTGCAGCACAACAATCATTACACAGCACACAATTGGTTCCATTTTGCATGTGGCACTCACTTCAGTGATCAAACAGACATGAGCAAGTAAAGCCTTCAGAAACCTCATCTGAATCTCACAGCCCCAAGCACCATCTCACTGCAGTGTTGGGTTTCTGCCTCATTGAGAGGCAGTTGCTGCTGTTTAATTGGAAGATGGAGATGACAGCCCTGTGTTGTCACTCCTGGACGGCCAAAAGTTTTCTTGCAGAAGTGAATCAAAGCCTGGGACACTATGCTGACTGAACTGCACACCACATTGCTGCTGGTACCCCCACATCAGCTTTGCTGTGTGATTCTCCACCACCAAAGGCAGTAGCAGGATCCTGCCAGTGGTGCATGGCAGAGCAGCTCCAAGCCTGAAATGAAGGGTAGGTAGAGTTTCCTTTTGGTCACTACTGATGGATAACAAATGCTCTCCATCTTAGCTGCAATAATTTCTCTGAGATATTTAAGTTGAAATGGAGTTTCTACACCTGCATGTAGTTTCATGGTGGTTTTTTCTTACTTATGTCCCTAATCCAAAGCAAACCAAACTCAGTTTCTTAACTCCTATTCAAAGCAAGGAGTTTTGAACACTGCCAGGGTTGAGGTTGTGACTGCACCAATCCTGGCAGTGGTCAAAACCAGGTTGGCTAAAGCCTTGAGCAACCAGTTCTGGTGGGAGGTATCTATGCCCAGGGCAGAGGGTTGGGACTGGGTGATCTCTAAGGTCCGGTCCAGCCCCTTAACAATCTATGAATCTTTATGAGAAGCTGTTCCTGTACCACCTGCACTAATGCCAGCTAAATATCTCCAGGTGTCAATCCACATCAGCCTATTCTATTTCTTTTGAAAAATATCTTTTCCTATGATTTTGTAATATTTGAGGACAACAGCAGCTGTTCTGGAATTGAGCAGTTACTCTGCTTTACCTCTTTCTCCTTTAGAACCTTTGGGACCTTGAGGACCTGGGGCTCCTGGCAGCCCTGGCAGCCCAGCATCTCCCTTCTCCCCCTTGGGACCTGTAATATAATCACAGCAACAAAATGATCTTAGTAACTCAAAGGTTTCACTTTATCAATAAGATTTTCAATAATAACTAAGCAACATTGAAGAGAGTGTGTGACACTGGACATGGAACCGGTGGAGCAAGTCCACAGAGGAGACCACAAAGCTCTACCTTCCCTACAAACAGGCTGCAAGAGTTGGGGCTGTTCAGCCTGGAGAAGAGAAGGTTGTGTGGAGACCTCAGAGCAACCTGCCAGGAGCTGAAGGGGCTCCAGGGAAGCTGCAGAGGAACTCTTGGTTAGGAATTACAGTGACAGGACAAGGAGTAATGGAGAGAAATTGAAAGAAGGAAATTTAAAATAGAAATCACAAGACATTTTTCCCTGTGAGGGTGGTGAGACACTGGCACAGGTTGCCCAGGGAGGCTGTGGCTGCCCCAACCCTGGCAGTGTTCAAAGCCAGGTTGGCTAAAGCCTTGAGCAACCTGTTCTGGTGGGAGGTGTCCCTGCCCAGGGCAGGGGGTTGGGACTGGATGATCTCTAATGTCCATTCCAACTCCTTAACATACTATAAATCTCTGTGAGTTGTTTCCATCACCCTGGGAATAACTGGTGATTTTATTTGCCATCATACAACCAATGCAAACCTTACAGCTTTGCATCTCACTCTTAGCTGCAGTTAAAGACTTTTTAAACCCAACTTTGAACAGCCTCAGAGCCACAGGAGCTCAGACATTCCTAAAACATCACAAGCAATCTGTCTTTAATACCTGAGTGCATCTAAGGAGCTCCTATGGCTTTGGAATTGCCTCTCTCCTTACAAAAATTAAACCTGCAAAAATAGAAGTGGGACTGGCTGACAGCACCATGCTGCATAAAGGATGGGCTGAAAGGCAAGCAAGCTGCCTCTAATCTTCATTTTTATATCCCCTTGGGAGTCTAGAGACTCCCAGTGCACCTCTGGGAGCAGATGATGACAGCCTCAATCATCACAGGGACTTTTCCATCACCACTCAAGAGACATATGAGTGCAAACTCCCTTTGCAGCCACAGTGATTTCCATTAGACAACCCTTCCCCAGCCATGGGAAGGGAAAATCCCTCGAGTATATTGTATTAAAAGAGAATTATTTCCTGATTTTACCACCTTTCCTCGGATGAATAGTTTCTTTCTCCAATATTAGTGCTATTAAAGTGAACATTTGCAGACTAATGCACTATTCATTAGAGCAGGATTAGAACCAGGTGCTCCTTGGCTATGCATTTTGGCAGTAGAAAGAAGAGACAAAGGATGGCTTATGAAATATTTAGGGGCTTTATAGAGAGCTGCCTCTCATGAGAGCTGCTTTAGTCATTTAGTTTTACAATTGAACTCAAAATTATTTCTGTATTTAATTTCCTCTTTTCCAATGGAAACAAAATGGGGGGTGGGGGTTTATCATAAATCTTCAGCCAAGATGCAAAACTGCTTGAAGGGAGTTTTGGGGGTCATAAAGTCATCATTGAAGTGAATGTGAAAGTGAATTTGTGACTCTCACTGAATCAGACAAAGAGAATAGAAGAGAATGGACACATGTGTCCTCTACCAGCAGGGATGTGGTATGGGACCAGCTCTGCATGAGTCTCACACCAGTGTGGTCCCCTAAGACAGTGCCATGGGCAGGGAGATCCTTTCTGGGGACTTCCTACTCATATTGGTGGTTAATAACTTTGGTGATTACATTCAGCATTTCATAGAATCATAGAACTCCTGAGCTGGAAGAGACCCATAAGGATCATCAGTCCAATTCCAGGCCCTGCACAGGACACCCCAACAATCCACCAAGTGCCTGAGAGCACTGTCCAAACACTCCTTGAGCTCTGTCAGGCTTGGGGCTGTGACCACTGCCCTGGGGAGCTGTTCCAGTGCCCAAACACCCTCTGGGGGAAAAACCTTTCCCTAATATCCAACCTAAACCTTCTCTGACACAACTTCATGCCATTCCCTCAGGTCCAGTAGGTCACCAGCAAGCAAGGATCAGCTGCCCCTCAACTTCTCCTCCTGAGAAAGCTGCAGCTCCAATGAGGTCTCTCTTCATGTGCTGCACAAGCCTTGCCAAATCATCTCTTGAAGGAGAAGCAGAAGACTCCTTGAACCAGTTTATGTGCTCTAGCAGAGAACAGCAAGACAGACATCACCATACCTGGGGGTCCCTGGTCCCCAGGCCGCCCCTGGGGCCCGACGCCAGGGGGACAGCAGTCACAGCAGTTGAAGAAGAAATCAGCTGTATCCAGACTGTAGTTCTCGAAGGGGAAGAGTGTGGTGGCCTGTGGGCTCAGGGTGGGTAACTCAGCTTTGCCTGGAGCTGCTGGGAAGGGGATTTTCCCAGTGAGAGGAGGGTGAGAGGTCACCAGCTGTGAGGGCTTTGGCTTTGTGTACTTCACAGCTGGAGTCACCTTCACTCCTGCTTGCACAGCAGCAACCACCAGCACCAGGAGCATTGGGATGGGCCCCAGGGAGCTCCACATGTTGGCAGCTGGGGGACAAGACAAACACAATGAGTTTCTTATATCTGGTCCTCCACAACTTGCTTTTTATGGTGGAATTAAAGGAGAATTAGAAAAACCTCCTGCCTGCTCACCCTTATCATCACCCTCCAGAGCACTTGTTGCTCCTTTTAGCTGTGGTTGGAAGCGATCCCATGGGTGTCATAGAATGATTTGGGCAGAAAGGGACCTTAAAGCTCATCTCATTCCACCCCCTGCCATGGGCAGGGACACCTTCCACTAGCCCAGGTTACTCCAAACCCCATCCAAGCTGGCCTGGAACACTCCCAGGGATGGAGCAGCCACAGATTTTCTGGGCTCAGCACCCTCACAGGGAACAATTCCTTCCTAGTATCCCATCTAAACCTGTCCTCCTTCACCTCAAGGCTATTCCCCCTTGTCCAGTCACTCCATGCCCTTATGGGAAGTCCCTCTCCAGCCTTCCTGTAACCTTATTTAGGTTCTGGAATGCTATAAACACAATTCAACAATGATTTCAGAGTCCATCCCAGCATTACACAAAACTTTGCTCTAAAAGAATAAATGGGAAAAAAATTAAACATCAAATATCCCAGACTTTTTCTGTGGATTTTCTATTTGTCACTGTCTGATTTTCTGTTATTCTATTTCAAGTGTTGACTTAGCTGAACCAGGAAGAAAGAACAAAGCAAAAAGGACACAGGTTTTCCTATAGGACAGGTGATGCCTCTCAGGTGACTTGTCATATAAAGCAGCTTTGTTTCTTCTTTAAACCAGTGTACCCAGCTGTAAACACAAACAGAACAGACTTCCTTTCTTGCTGAACCTGTAACCTAACCTTCCTCAGCAGCCACAACACTTCAGGGCATGAGAAAGTCTCCAGGAAAGATGCTTACTATCCTTTCCATCCAGGGGGAGAAAAGAGATACAACTTATAGTCATTAATTTGGGGGCTGGATTAGAATCTTCCCATCTTTAAGAATTCACCTTTAGAAGAAAGCTCTTTTTATTCTGATGATTTATGGTTTGAATCTGATGATTTTTTTTTTTTGCATTTTCAGCCAAAAACAAATCATTTAATGGAAAACTGATTATCCACACAAAATTCCTGTTGCCCATTACTGCTATTCAAGCCATTCTTCACCCCATCAGCTCTAGTAAAGGACAAATTATCCCTTCTCCATGCATGAGTTGCACTAGAACAGGATATCAGGGATTGATTTTCATCACAGGCTCTTGTTTGCTCCCTCCCAGCCCCTGCCAAGCTTACCATGAAGAGTTAAACCCTGGAGAGGTCAGTGTGGAGAGCAGCACTCAGCAGGCAGAGAGCAGCAAGTGGCAGAGCAGGAGGATCATCTAGGATCATCTAGGACATCATTCTATCTAGGAAGAGATTAAAAAAACCCCAAAATTCTCCATTTGGAATAATGTCCTCATGCACGAGTGTCCTGCCACTGCTGGAAATGGCTAAATAAACACATGACTTCCACACAGAAGCTGTGACTTTATAGATAGAGGAACTTTGTGGTAAATCAGTTCTCAAATCCAACCCATTTCTGTGTTTTGCTGTCACACATCACTCCTGCAGCAAGTTCTAAACACAGCCAGGCTGAAGGATTGCTATCAAATACTGGGAAATGGCATTAATAACAAAATTATACCTTACCAAGTCTGGTTAAAACAGAAACTGCTCAGAGCATGGAATCATTAAATAGATTTTTCATTCTAATGGGCAAAACTGGTCCTAAGATAATTCTTTCTAAATATGTGGAAGGTGTCCTTGCCCATGGCAGGGCTTGGAATGAGCTGAGCTTTATTGTCACTTCCAACCCAAACTATTATGTGATTCTATCTAAATTCATTTTAATAAAACTGAAATTTTGGCCTTTTTCATTACATTACTCATCATCACTGAATCTAAAATCATCCATTTGAATCCTCCCACTAGGAAAGATTCTGATTCACACAAAATAGGAAGAATTGAACAACTTAATTGGCTCTAAATAGCTATTACATGTTAGCATGTGCCCCATAAAAAAAAGGATAACAATACACTTGGGTTTTGTGTGCTCTTTAACATTAAAGGTTTAGCTATTCCAGGTCACAACAGGTATTTAACCCTGATCTGCCAGTTGTAAATATTGGGGAGATGATTACACTGTCTGTTATTGAATTAAACCTTAGACATCTAATTTAAAATCTTATTGATTTATTATATATTACATATGTATTATT